AGATTCTTGATCTTGGTTAAGAGATGCTTGCTCTGCTTTGCTAAGTTTCTTCTCCTTATTGCGTCTCCTTATCCAATTACTAATGCTTTTTTTATGTGCATCGTTCAAGAAAGTGTCTATTTCTCTGTTCTCCGATGTCTTTTGATCACTCACACAAGATAGTGGAAAAGTGACCTGATTGCTCCTCTCATTGTCGTCCCTTAGTTTCACTACTTCAGCCTTAATCTCAGCAATCTCAACATCATGCCTAACATTCTCTGCTGAAGAATCTGTCTTATTTTTCTCTAGTTCCTCAATTCTAGCCTTAAGCTCGGCATTCTCAGCATCACGCCATTTACTCTCTTCCACAGCCTGTCTTAGAAGCTCGGCAATCCTACTATTAAGCTCAGCTTTCTCAGCCTCGATCTCAGCAAACTTCCTTCTAAGATTAGGGATTTCAGCATTCTCCTTCCTAAGATCCGCAATCTCAGCTAAGAGTTTAGCATTTAATTCTCTCAATGAATCAATAGATTGGGCATTTGACATGTTTGATATACCTGTTTATACACTAATATTCAAAATAAATAATCACGCGCGCGTGAACAATTGTTTAGGATCTAGCCTGTTGATACATGACATCTATACTATTGTCTGGGTGAAAGATTTCACGCTCTATCACTTTACCAAAAAAAATCTCGATCATATGCGAGTTATATATCGATAGCAATACAATAAAAAAAATCTCGAAATACACATGCAAAAGTAAGCAAATCGAGCTACCAAGGCCAACTTTATTGTTATAAAAGAAATAAAAAAATATAAATATAAAATAAAATCTAATCATCTCGATCTGTGGATACTGTCGAGCTTTCTTCTATATACTTTTGCGACCTAGAAACTACTGCATGAATTAGTAGGGATATGTTTGTAATTATTATGTTTCGAAGGATTAGTAAGGTATGAACGAAATCGGTTACTATATTTGCATTAGCAAATTGCACTGGGATTTCGGCTAAACGTAAGTGGTAATATCTATGAATATCAGCCTCATCCCTCATAAGCACATTTAAATGGAGCATATTTCCTGCTACCTGCACTCCAACAATTCCAAACTCACCCTTATCTGGTTTGAGTGTTTTGCGGGTCCAATACAAGCCATCATTTGTCTCACGCCATACTTTCACTTCATCGTCTTCTTTTTTCTGTTCATCACAGAATAAACGAGAACATTCAGAGTACATAAGCTCATGAAATTTTTCTCGGAATTTGATAATATACATGATATCTGGTTTCCTCCCTCTGCACCCTTCTCCTTTTCTATCTGTGCTAGCACTACTTTGTTTTTCCGCAGTGCTAACGAACGAGGAACTCCCATAAGGAAGATCTTTCAATGAAGTACGAATCGCAGGTACTATCACATTTGTCACGTAAGTTCCTTCATTCTGCGATTCGGCATATTCAGGGCCAAACGCTGGATTTTTCCAGGAATCTTCCAAAGTACCTAGAATTGCTTTCGCAACTTTAATAATATTTTCTTCTGATTCTTTCCAAGACATGTCATGAATTAATTTTTCTGGTGGAGCTTCAGCTTGATACTCGATGAAGCTCGACACAAATCTTTTACATCTTTCTTGAACAACTGGCAACAGGGGCGGTGGCATTTTAAATTTAGGTTCCTAGCAGTAGGATACGATATATCAAAAAATTAGCCTGCATTTGATATAATATAATGTTGGGATATGCTTACCATAAAAATATTATATAAGTCTTGGGGTAATTGTTGTACCATCTCTGAGCTGTCGCTAATAACTTGACTAGCCAATGGTTTCTTCCAATTTAATGTTGTAAGAGGAGCTTTCTCTACTTCTAAAAGTAAACGCTTATGAAGTGGCGACTTTTTATAATTCTTAAGCTTCCCCTTCAACTCATTTATGTTTTTTATAATTTGTTGAGGAGTAAGAGGTTTTTCTTTATTTGTCTTTATGGCTCCAATAGCAAGTAAACTGCAAACGGACCTATATGAAATTTCGAACTAATGCAGACATAGTAAGTTAATGGGGTTGCAACTATAATATAACAAAATTATTACAAAACGCATGCGCAGTCAGAATATAATCAAAGCTCTATTCCCATGGGGTCAGCTACTCCACCATGAAGATATAACCTTGAGACTAAAATAGCCACACAGGATTAAACATATGTCTACAGTTTAAACATCCCTCACGCATCGAGGAAATTATCCTGTAGGCGGACTATGGAATGGTTAAACTGTTATGCTTGCTCCTTCAGAGTCGTATCACTGTCTGCATGTTCATCATTCTAAATCAATTATACATTTTTCTTATAGTTTACTAGCCTACCTCTGAAAGAACCTTGTGAAGTGACTCATATCGTTTAGAACCCTGGTCAATTTGATCTTCTACAAGATCTACCGCAAATTCTATAATGCTTTTTAATTCATCTTTAGAAATCCAAGGGTTCTCCCCTACCACTTGGTAAATGACAGATCCTGCGGTAATCGTTTTTTCTTCAGCATTTAACAAGAAGTTGCGAAGTTTAGCGTATACGTTGTTAGACATGGTTGTAGATTATAAAGATACAAAGAGAACAATAGAATTAATTGAAGTTGAATAATGCAAGAAATATAAATCACTAATAAGCGACAAATAAATCATAACTTCGGGATACTGCCCTTTTATACATTTTCCTTATCTCTTTCCTGAAACTCGAAAGATTAGAAAGGTTCAAAAACATGCACTCTTACATCGAAAATTTCTACGATAGAAGTATTTCCATGTACAACAAAGAATTTCTATAAATTATGTAAATGTATACATCACGAGTTATAGAGGTTAAAGTTGCTAAAAAATGACTTTAAAACGTGTTAAGGGACTTGATACTCCGTAGTACATGCATACATTGTACGCATTTGGGCTAGAGGTCCGGAGTTGGCTCCCCACAAAATAAGTCAGAGCTGTGGCATTAGCTAATAAACCGACTTTGGTTAGGTACTACTAATTCTAGAAAAATGGCACTTTGAGATTGTGCCCCGTCTCACAAATTAGTTATGCATAACGATAAGCTAGTAGGGTGATACAGATAAATTCTTACGTACCCG